TTTTTGAAGGTTTTGTGGCAGTGGGGTCTCTAACCTCAACAACTTTTTGCCAGTGAACAAAATGCATCTGTTGCATCAAGTATGGAACACTTTAAGTACCAAAAATGAATCTCATAGTCATATTTGTCGTCTTGTTTTCTTTTTCTTTGATCTGATTTCAATCAAAATCTTGCTAGTTGGACAATTTTTTAAGTTCTTCGCTTGTGTTCTGACAACATTTATCATTTGAGAATGTTTGCTTCTTGTGTCAAATTGGAGAAAAAAAAAAGAAAAAAAAAGGGGTTGTGGAAATACATGTTTATGTTTATGTTTATCTATAAATAAGTACAGTAATTAGTATTAGTATGTCAGACAGTAGATTGATACCACTGTCTCGTGTGTTTGCTGAATATAAAGTCAGTTTAGCTTAGCATAACTAGCATTACCACGTCATATCCCTGCTTCCAGTCTTTGTGCTAAGCTAAGCTAACCATTTTCCTGTTGACCATAACTGATCTTCTCACCCAACGCTCGGCAAGAAAAGTGAACACGCATATTTCCCCAAATTCTTTTAACTAAAGAGTGTTCAATAGGCGAGAGCAAAAAGGGGTCCAACTGGGATTCAAAACAACGGGTGGTCTTATATTTTACATTTTCTGTATTCATCTGATGGTTGTGCACCAGGCAGCCCTGCAGCCAGCTGACGCTGTTTTTATTCTACAGCTGACATACAGTGAAAGCCTGCACTCAGAGTCAGCAGTGTGTTTTGTCTGTGCGTGTGCGGTCCTGCGTTGCCGTGCGTACCCTTGTGTACCTGTCTGCGTGCGCTCATAGGTTTGTTTGTGCAACGTTGGTGCCCCGTGTGATCCAAAGGCAGCGTGTCGCATCATGTTGGGGCACATGAGTCCGCCTCGAGGCAACAAGTCATCCACGTGTAACTCCCAAAAGTCTCAACTTGCCTCACCTCTACGCCAAAGCCTTGACTCAATCTCTCCTGTGTCTTTCACTTTATATTTATATCTTTTTTTTTTTTTTAAATGCATTTCAAATACAGAGCTTACCGCTTGCAGCATCGGCTCCACTGGGGACATTCTCCCGGTATCTTCATCAGAAAGCAACCCTGTTATAGATGCTCTGATGTAAAGTAGAGGTACAATGCCTTGCTGTGTCTGGCATGTCGCTGGCATCATCTGGATGGCAGCCTTTATGTGCAACTAGTTAAAGGTTAATAATGTAGTGAGAGAAAGAATGTGAAAGAATAAAGAATGTGGGTTAGCCATTAGTCGGCATGTGTGTGTTTACACAGCCAGCCTTTTTCCCAGGTGCTACTCTATCCCCAGGATTACAGCGGAGGGGGCTTTACACACACACACACACACACACACACAGACACACGACCACAGTCTGCCTACCCCCCCCAAAAAAAGTGGGAGGGAGGTTTAGGGAGATAACAGATCAGAGGGAGGAAGGGAGAGGTAAAAGAAGTGTGAATTCAGCAGTGGGCAGGCTACAGCTCACCTCCAACACAAAGACTTCCCAGGACCAAGCACACAGAGAGGCTCTGACTATCTCCGGCACTATCTGCTCGTGTATGAATGAGCCGGATTGTCTCCTTCGTAACCTTGGAAGATGGTGGGACTCTCATCCACCGCTGTCGAGGGTAAGCGTTGAGGGGAAGCCTTTGTAGCTTGTCAGGATATTACCACAGCAGGTATCTTCGGCAAAAAAGAGGTGCGAGGATTTGGAAAGATATGTAAATATACTGACCGATGTGAAGACACATGCGCGTGTTGAAGGTGTTGTAAACATCAGACTGAACGCCAGACATCAGGTGATGTTTGCTTCGTGCCTGAAGCATCGTGCCAGCCTGAAGCATCGTGCCAGCTTGCTGGAATTCCAAGAAAGGCAGCAATGTTGAAGTGTTGAGAAAGCAGCAGTCTGCCACCCAGAATCGATAGTGCAACTTTGCGTTTTTCTGAGCCACTTGAGACTCTTTGTGGGATGCAAATTCTTGCGCGATAAGCTGGAATGTCTGCCTGCAACAATATTGTGAAACAGAGTTGCTGCCGAAAGAGTGATTTTGTCTCTTTTTTTTTTCTGTGTGTGTGTGTGTGTGTGTGTGTGTGTGTGTGTGTGTGTGTGTGTGCGCGATGTGAGGCAAGATAAGTAGGCTCAGCGTGAAGAAAGCCTTTGGCATTAAAAGGAGGGAGGAGAACAAACCTGTGCACCCGATCGAGGTCACATCATTCTTTAAATCACGGTTTGTTGGACGTGTTAGCACAGGTGCTCAACTTGCTGACATTACTCACCCCAACCCCCTCCCCTTCTCCCTCCCTCTCTCTCCCTCCCCTCTCTCTCTCTCAATCAGATTGTACAGAAGGTCTGCTAACGCAAGCCTCTTTTAAAGGTGTGAGTCTGCACTGGTAAACAAACTTCTGTCTCGGCCTCACTACTATTTGCACACTGACACAAAGACATTTTTTTGCAGAGTCTTGCACTATTAACAAGGTGAGGAATGTGCTTGATGTTTAACGGCAATTGTCAGACGAGTGTGAGGAGGTAAATGTTTGAGCTTTGAATGGCCCGCCGCATTCCTGCATGGTGCACTAAATGCACCCATCTTCTGTTGAATTAAGTTTTCTCTGATGGATGTAAAAGTAAAGTAATCAGCACATTCTTTTAGCTGCAAATATTCCAATTTCAAAGCATAAACCCATTTTCATGCAGCGTTACTATCTTATTCAAGCTTGTGTGTAGTTTCCCTCAGGTGCTTGGCTCACAATCTGTTTTATCTGACCTCTAAAGACACACATCCCACACACACACACACACACACACACACAGAGTTGCTGCAGAGATTTAAAGGGTCATGTGCTGTTTTAGATGTGCGAGAACTCTTTTGAGTAGTGTGGTGTCGATTACCGAGGCAAGGCCGAGGATTTAAGGGTGGTCTTACGGGCCTCACATCCCAACACTCTGCAGTAATTCCTCTTTGCTCATTCTGGCACAAGCGGAATTGTGCTGTAGTCGTCAAATTGGATGATAAGCTTTTTTTAGAGCGCTAAATCCAAGTGAAACGGTGAAATGGCTTTATGAGCGTTGCGATCCGCTTCAACTCCTTGAAAGCAACACCTTGATTTCTGAGTTAGATTTGATTTAATGCTGACCGGTGTGAATTTCAGTTTTCTCCCTGCCGTCGATGAGTCATGCTGTGGATAAGGTTCTGTCTCCCACTAGGTCAGGGGAAACCCAGCGGTGCGCTGCAGCCAGATTCTAAACAGCTGGAACCTCTGGCGGAGAGACAACACTCGCCGGGCCAAAACATCCCACTCTCATGAGTTTCCTCTCCGTCCCCGACGCCCACTTCCTCATTTCCCTTGGGTGAATCGGAGCTTAATGAGGAGACATTCCAGGTCCCTGCGCCAATTAATTCCTCATGCCCACTTCTCGGAGCGCGAGCGGGCTTTTTATAACAATAGAAGGAAACCGCACTACTGAAGCGACGGTGGAGCGGACGCAGGCGAACACACACCGAGTGTAGCTCTATTTACTCTTGACTGTAACCTTGGCAGAGCATTGTGGAGCCCATAGGAAGACCCACCTCAGGAAAGTATGTCTGTCTTTAGGGATGGGAGCAGTCTGAAAATGTAGAACGAAACATCGGTTACAAACGCATACATCTTCCAGATTATCAAGACCTCTGCCTGTCAGTGGTGATTACATACGAGCTCGCTGTGTCAGAGTGATTCATCTATAAGATTCCAACGTTCTACCTCAACTCATCTGGGTGCTGCTCAAACTGGCACATTCACACAACGGGCTGGCTTGTTGTCAGGTGCACCAAAAGTTCACCTTTAACACGCCCCACTAAATGCACATCGTGTGTGTGTGTGTGTGTGTGTGTGTGTGTTATGTGTTTGTTATGTGTTTGTTTACTTGTTGCCATATGACCGCCCCCCGAACAAAAGACTTTTCTGGCTCAGCAGCTGTCCCGTTGATGAGCCGAGCAAGATGCACGGTTCAGCAGGTCTAATGTGGCTGGACTGTGAAAATATGGCGCGGGGGGGAGAGGCAGACGAGTGTGACAGCAGTGACTCAGCCAGTCGTCAGTTTTTTTTTTGCTGGGGATTTTCAGGATTATAGAGGTGCATTAGGATAAGGCAATGCAGAGGGAAAGAATAGAGAAGAAGCTATGAAAACGGTAGAAAGAAGGGAGAATCAATTTTGTCCAATAAAGGAGGAATCCAAATATATACACACACACACATACACACACATCAGCAGCAGGTTGCAGACCTGTTCCCAGGACATCCAGCAGCCGGGGGAGTGAGACGGTTTATTTAACTTCTGTTCTGAAAACAGGGAGTGGACCAGATCAACATGCGATGTGGAAGATCATATATTCCGATATGCCGAGTCCTCAAAGTGTTACAGAACCTGGAGATCCTCGGGAAGAATCCGTATTGCAGGAGGTCTGCCTGCCTGAGCCAGCTTTTGGGCTTTTGTGAGGCCTGGACTTTAAATCTCTCCACTGTTAGATAAAGATCAGGTGCCTGTGAGACTACATTTGGCCTGCTCCGGGCTCTGTAAAGTGGTGCTTTGGTTATTCTGGTCAGAATCTCACATTTCTGCCAACATCTGTACGGTCTTGGCAGCGCGCTTAATTTACCTTCTTAGCATTGAGAGCGACAGTTGATTGAAGTTTGGGTTTGTGCCAAGTCGTGCCTGAGCCAGCAACATTTCAGAGCTGCTGCAGAAAGACAACACTGGTTTTCTTGCTCTTGTTTAGTCTGGCTTGTAACTGAGCGAGGAGGAGACGAGGGAGACTGTGTCGTAAGGTGGCAGATTGATATTGACAAACTGTGACAGAAAATGAAAGAAAGACACAGAGAAAGAGGCTCTAGTCTATGACATACACCCCTTTTGGTTTATTTAGACTTGTCCGTCTGACCTCTGCCCTCGACTGATAAACTGAAGCCGTACACCCCCCCCCCCCCTGACCTTTGCCCCGCTCTGTGCAGCGATGGAGGTGTTGGTGAGTGAGCTGGGCGTCCTGCTGCAGATGCTGGACCAGGAGAGCCTCAGCTCCTCCACGCAGGAGAAGAAGACCTCTGTGTGGAACCTCCTGCAGCAGATACAGCCATCAGGTCAGTGAGGAGGAGGGAGGAGGAGGGAGGAGGAGGGAGGAGGAGGAGGAAAGATTGATGAAGTGACTGTCTGTCGGTGACTTTCTTTATTTTTCATTCTCTTGTTTTGTCCGGGTTTTATGTAGACTCTCCGAGGGGTTATACACATAATAAAAATGTGCAACGCACTTGACATCTGAAAATCTCTTTCCTTTCCTCCAGTTTCAGGAACAGACTACATCTACATGAACTCAGCAGTGTACAGAAATGGCACCAGCTTCGTAGAGTCCCTCTTCGAGACATTTGGTGAGTGTTGAGCTCCAACGCGAAGCTGTAAAATGTTCGCCGCTCTATATAAATGAGCTACAAATATCATGTTCTCTTTGTATGTAAGTCTCAGTTGTTGTCTCTTATAGACTGCGAGCTTGGAGACCTAAAGGATGTTACAGGTGTAACAGATGTGAAAGAAGACAAGAACACGCAGACGGACACTTCAAATCAGGCAAGTTGCCGAGATGTAGTCAGTTCCTAACTCACTCAGTTGCATTTGACACTGTGTGTGTGTGTGTGTGTGTGTGTGTGTGTGTGTGTGTGTGTGTGTGGGATGTATGCTGTTTGCTGTGCATCCTTTCAGCTCTCACCATCCAAATCCAACTTTGCACAAGACTAATACACATCCTAATGACTTGTGTCGAGAAAGCAAAGAGAAAACAGAGATCGTGTTCCATGTTGTTTCCCACGCACACATGCTCATCAGTCTGCAAGCTGTTGGAAGAGTTAAGATGCAGGGGCCCGCCCAGAGCCCATGTGTCTAATTTATGGATATCATTTTGAGGGTTTTACTCTGTGTCTCTTTGATGATGTAGTTCATATGCTGTGGGAAAACAATTATATTTCATGGTTATGAGGGAAATTTGAGAGCTGTGTTTGTATGTTTCTCTTAGCAGAACTGTGCAGGCTTGCCAGCCCCGCGCTCCGCGAACTTTCCTCCCCCTCTGCCCACAACACCTCCTCCTGAGGAGTATTATGAGGAGGCAGTGCCCCTCAGTCCCGGCAAGTTGCCCGAGTACATCATCACACGAGGTCAGCATCTTCCCGCCCCTGCTGAACTCGGGGTCCTCAGTGTAACTTAGCTGTAAAAGAAAAAACTCCCAAGTCTGTAATTACGAAGCACAAGTTGCATTAAAGTGTACGATGGAACATAAGGAGTAATTAGGGATTTTTTTTGTCTTTCATTTTCAGTCAGGCCTAGCCCTCCCAACTCTATAGAGGATGGGTATGAAGATGCTGAAAACAACTACCCCGCTACCTGCATAAACACGCACCGCAAGAACTCATGTGAGTTGAGAACAATGTCACCCCCTAAAATTAATAATATTACAGAATAAAACCTGCCTTTTTATTTTTTTTACAACAAATAACTCACTTTGTCTTCTCTGTCGTTGTCCTAGCAGACAACGACTCCGATGCTCTGAGCAGTTCCTACGAGTCCTACGAGGAGGACGAGGAAGAGAGGAGCCCCGGCGTCGGACTCACTCATCAGTGGCCCTCGGATGAGAGCTCCATGCCTCCTGCCAGGGACTGTCGCATCTGCGCCTTCCTGCTGCGGAAGAAACGTTTCGGCCAGTGGGCGAAACAGCTCACCGTCATACGGGAGAAAAGACTACAGGTGGGAAGCTGTACATTCGATTAAACCCTCGGGAAAGCACGAATCATGCATTTCTTCTTCTCTTCTTTAACGCACAGTATCCTATGTGTCCTCCTTTCTGCAGTGCTATAAGAGCTCTAAGGACACAAACCCCTATGTGGACCTGCTCCTGCCCCAATGCACCGTGGTCTACGCACCCAAAGACAGCAAGAGGAAGCACCATGAACTCCGTTTCACCTTACCCAATGGAGATGCACTGGTGCTGGCTGTGCAAAGCAAGGAGCAGGCCCACAGATGGCTCAGGGTGAGCTTACACTTTGAAATGACATGTTTGCATGCAGGGACACAGACCGGCAACACAGCCATCAATCTTGTCGACAATCGCCGGAAGCAGTTTTTGATGATGTGGACACACAAAAACCTCAAAAGAACGTGTACTGTCTAGTGACACATGTAAACTAACCCCCCCACACACACACAGGTTGTTAGAGAGGTGAGCGGTCAGAGCGCCGGGCCTGAGGAATCTGCGTCTCCCATCATTCCAAGAAAAACTGAACTTGACAAGGTAAGTGCAGGAAGAGAGGATGTTTGCGTTGGAACGCTCCTGTCATTTTTTTTTTTTTTTTTTTTATCCCCGAGACATAATTCATCTTTGCAGCCGAGGTGAGGAAAAGTCGGTGGCATGCAGCAATTGTGTTGTCACCATAAATTTCTCCTAAACAATTGCTTGGGCGAGACACAGTAAACAGTGATAGCTGTGTTTGGCTTGCAGAACAAAGAGGACATATGCCGTGTAATTGGGTGTTAAGGCAGCAATAATAGGGGTGGTGGTGAGTCAGTGTTGGAGCAGGCACATCCTTCCTGTAAAGCTTACCAACCTGTCGGAACATAAAGTGCAAAAGGCCCTTACGTGAATGAAAAGAAAGGAGCCGTTATAGAGTTGTTAGGAGAAAAAGGCAAGAGGATAAGTCTGTTTGTCTAATTCCACCTTGTGTGAAAGAATGAAATAATCCAGAGGCAGATGCATGTAAGCTTGATAACAAATTCTCTCTATTATAGTCATTTAGCTTTGAATTAAGACATGTTTGCTGTGGTTTGATCCTGGCAGAGAGACAGATCCTGTGTGGGGACTTAGATTCCACTGTTGAAAGTCTAAACCTGAGTTTGTGTGCTTCTTCCTCAGAGGCTGTCTGCAGAGAGGAACACATCAGACTCGGACAGTGTGGGTGTGTCGACTGTTGAGAACTGCAGAGAGAATGGTGAGACAGGAAACAGGCTCAAATCAACACAGCAGCTTGTTAAAAAAAAGATATTCTGTAACTTTAGCTTTTTTGTTTTTCCCCCATTTGCTATCCATCTCAAGTCATCAGAAAATAAGTTTGTCCTGTTGTCATCACGTAACTTACTTACTAATTACAGTTTCCACATGCCAAAGATACATCGGGACAAAAAGCAACTGTTTAATCTTTTCCTTTTTGATGCAGGCAAGGTGAAGCGGGGGGCTTTCGCTGCGGGCCGCAAAATCACGCGCATCATCAGCTTCTCCAAGAAGAAGCCCCCTCGGCCAGGAGATCCCCGGACCTCCTACACCGACCCTCGACGAGGTCAGACCCCGACTCACTGACACTCTTGAGATCTCCTTAGGTCCCTAGAACTCTTAAATCTCCAGGCGTGTTATTTTTCGCTAATTTTTTCTCTCCTCACCGTGCAGGCTATGTGGCGGTGCTGGTGAATCAGGTGTGGCGGGAGCAGTGGTGCTGTGTGTGCAGAGGCTCCCTGCACTTCTACAACGACAAAGGAGACGCTCGGACCTTCCTGCCTTCACTTCCTCTCCACGGCTGCGAGGTGGTCCCGGGGCTGGGACCCAAACATCCCTTTGCCTTCCGAATCCTACGGAACTGCGCGGAGGTGGCTGCTCTGGAGGTGAAATACCGAGCATTCGTTGCTTCGTTAAAGCCGCACTAATCATTGTTTTTATTTCGACAATAGGTCGAATGACTTGGGGGTCGCTTTTAGTGACGAACCCACAGGGACTTACCATGGCACCCTGCAGTTTGTCTCAACTTTACAGAGAATTTTAGTGTGGAAATTCAAAGCTGACATGTCCCTTCTCTTTTTAGGCGAGCAGCTCTGAGGAACTCGGGAGGTGGCTCGGCGTCCTCTTGGCAGAGATGGGCTCCGCGACAGATCCAGAGTCACTGCACTACGACTACGTTGACGTGGAAACCATCGCTAACATCCGCAACGCTGCGCGGCATTCCTTCCTGTGAGTGAGACAGAAGGGAGGGGGAGGGGGGGGGGGGTCGGAATACTTACACGAGGTCAAAGCAAGGCCTCTGACCAATGCCATGATGTTTAGTCCCCGTGCAGATTTCATTTCTCCTTCTTCTCTGGTCCTAGGTGGGCCACATCCTCCAGCAGCACCTACACAGACTCCAGAACATATGACGAGGTCCCTAATGAGGACATGCAGGTGGGACACATGTGCTCACACACGTTTCTTTTCAAATTCAGTTAAACCTTATGACTTATGCCTTACGTTGATGCGACAAGATTAGAAGCTGCATGTCTGTGTGTGTGCAGCTGTTGGGCACTGTCGCTGTCTGAAAATGACACTCCGTCTCAGTCACCCGAACAGACAGACAGTGCTCTGTTACATGCCCATCAATGATGGCTTTTTGTAGGCCAGAGAAAAAGCAGTGTGTGGGCATGGGAGAGAAAAAAAAAAAGAGACTGATCAAACTGGTGACAGGAAGGCAAGAGGTCATGGCAGGTTTACAGCCCGTAAACTCCTTTCTTAACCCCACTGACATGCACTTAAACACATGCCTCTCACCACCTAGAGCCACAAACATCTCACACCTCAGACGTCTCAAACCAATACATTTGAAGATAAGTATATTGCTTAGCCTAATATACAAACTTTGCTTTCTTGTTTTCCCCTCCGTCGTCATCCTTCTCTTTGCATCCTCCCACATCTGTCATGTCCTCTCTAACCCCTCTCTACTCCACCCAGTCAGGGGAGGACCGCAGGCAGCAGTCTGGGAATCAAGGGAAACGGCGCTCAAGTTTCTCCAGCAGCGACTCTGACCGAACCAAGCCTTTGGTCTCCCTCAAACGAACGGGCTCCAGTAAGTATGTTTAGTCGGTCCACCAAAGTAGCATTGCCGTTCCTCCCGTGGTCCTGGCCTATTCTCATGAAATATACTGATGAATTGATTGACATTTTTATTTATGCAGTGGAAACTGAGTGATGGAGACAGTGTTTCTCATTTCTATGGGTTAGAGATGCTAACTCAAGTGACGTCACTTGAGTCAGCAGTGGAACATATTTCTGGGTGCGGCGTTGGAAAGAAGTGAGCTCGCCAGAAATCTGCAGCCCGCTCCTCATCTCTGCTTGAGCATTACACACCCAAATCTCCAACAGTTACATTAACAGTCATGCCCAGGTTATGAGTATAGTTTGTGCAAAAGAGAACCAAAAAGTAATCCTTGTAGAACCCCTTTGATAATGGTGAGGAATGTTGATTGCGCACCATCAGCCACAAGACACCGAGCCAATAGCTGTGAGGCACTTCAATGACCCGGACTGTATCAAAGGCATTATGATGGATCCACAATCAGAGTTTCACATGGACATGTTTATCTTGAATATTCACAATATCATGCACAACCAACCAGACAGCTGAGATGTATGTGTATACAGTAGGGCCAAGTATCTTTTCTGCCTCCCACCCCTCTCTGCTTTCCATCTGTATCTCTCAATAAAAAGAAGGGGAGCAGCCTGCTGCCCTTCGAGGGAAATAAGAATAATACAGATGGCACCTCTTAATATAGTTGTGTGTCACACAGGCGTTAGATTGCAAAGCTCTACTCCTGCTGTAGCTTACACTCGTCATACAATCCTTTCAGTGGTGCACCAATTCACAGACACTCCTAAACTTTGAGCTTTTATCCGGCTCAATATTTCCCTTTTTTCCTCTTCTCCCTTTCCGTCCGTAATCTCTTCACTCGCCTCTCCCATTTGCTCCGTTGTGTCAGTTGGCCCAAAAAAAAAACGAGATGAGCGTCCTGAGTTTCGGAACGTGATATCGCTGTGGTCGGCTGTCTCAGTGCTCCTCTCTCGGTGCCGTTTCACGGGCCTTCGCTGTGACGTTCTGACACATCAAAGAGCCGGCGCTCTCCATGGCTGAAAGCTTCAGGATGTAACCTGAGATTTAGTGGACACTCGCATTAGATCTGCTTTTCTTGCCTCTTGACCTCTCCCTCAGCAGGAGGGTGTGTGTTTTATTTTCTATTCATGCATCGTATCTGTGTGTCCTCCCATAATTCTTTGTCTGAATCATGAAAGATAGGTTTGAAACTGTGTGCTACGCTTTCATGTAAGTGGTGGAAGTGGCGTCACGCCTCCTCAAGCGAGGAGCGTGACATTAATTTAAGGACAGACGGAAAGACGGCTGTGAGATGTTTTGTCTCCTTCCCATAACCCCTGCACATTTGGCCCCTGCTCACCTTTGCTCCCTTCTGACATCTCTACCCAGACGCCAACCAATATGGAAGGTATGGGAAAACGCGAGCGGAAGAGGATGCCAAGCGCTACTTGCAGGAGAAAGAGGAGCTGGAAAGAGCGAGGGATGGGATACGGAATGCACTCGTGACCCTGCGGAAGGAGAAGAGAGAGCTGAAGGAGGAGCTGAAGACGGCCTCCGGTAAGGAGACACAAAGCCAAACAGACGGACGGCAATATCCGGCAAAATAAACAGCGTAGCTAGAACTGTATGTACCTTGGTTAATGATCATGTTGATTAACTTCCGAAGCAAAAGTATGAGTTAGAAAACCAGCTTGATGGTTGAGTATTTGTCTGCACCTTAATCAGAAGGCTTGAACATAAAGTGCACGTTCTGTATTCCTGCTCTGTGTCTGACCTCCATTATTAGAGGGCCGTGTGAGAAGACAACATCCCTGCAGGCATAAATAAAACATCTTAATTGCTTTTATTATTAAAACCAAAAAATGTGGTTCTGAAAATTCCTTCTAAATAGGATTTATTTCCTTCAGTGTCACACAGTATGCTGCCAGAAGTGGTGGAAGAGTAAAAGTAGCATACCGGATTGTAAACACAAGTAAAAGTACAAAAGTAGAAGCAGAAAAATGAATCGCAAGTGCTTATTAGGCATCACAATGTAGCATGTAGCATATTATTGGATTATCTTTCACTACTTTCATGTAGTTTAATCGATAACAATACATCGCAATTTATAAACTCATCACAGATTTTTTTATGTTAAGTTTTTAATTTGAGTAAGTAGTATCTATAGCTGTAGGAGAGTAAAAAGTTCAATAGTCTTTCTGAAGTAGTCAAGTCTTCATACCATCTAGAAAAATCTTCAAAACACAAAATCTACCTTTCAGTTCCTCGTGTGTCTCATTGTGTTGTGTGTGTCGCTGTGTTTCTGTGGAGCAGACAGGAGGACGTTCTCCCTGAACAAGCGCGTGTCCCAGCTGGAGGAGGCCTGTCGAGCTAAAGAGGCAGAGAGGGTGGACCAGGAGCTCCGGCTGTCTCATGTCCAAGAAAACATCAAGAAGAGTCTGGCCGGCGGAGCGCTGGGCGCACCTGTTGAGGCTAAACCCCCAGTTAAGGTGCGTTTGTTGCTCTATGCGTAAAGACGCACTTCTTTATCTTTACATGCACACCTACTCTCATACACGTTGCTGTTTTACTTTTTATTTTTGGGTAGGCCTCCGGCAAAAAGACGCAGAATATCTACAGTGATTCTTTGCCAGTGAACTGCGCAGCGGAGATGCGTCGGAGACCTCTTTCTGTTTACGCTTCTTCAGGAACTGTCATGCGGAAGGCAAAGGTAACGCTCACAGACACTTCCTGAACAGTTCCTCAGCCTGTCATTACGGACAGCTTTCTCTCTCGGGCTTCCCAGGGGGTTGATAGGATCACAGCAGCATGTGTCATCATCTAATGGGGTTTTCACAGTTCACACGCAAATAGAGAGACGGTCTGCGTGTGTCCACACAGTCACTTTGGACATTCACAATTAAGTGCCTGGTACGTGTGAGTGTATGTTGGGTGATTATGACCAAACGGGATTCTGTCACGACACACGGATGTTTGGTATCACTTTCAGCCATGACCTAAATAGTGTATAGTTTATTTCTGTTTTATTTTTTCTAAAAACAATTTATAAGAAACGCATTGAATCACTGATCGCTGTATAGACAATATTTGTCATTATTGCCATTTCTGTAAGTCTGATAAATATTAAGATATAATGTTTTTTTGTATGTTTGCGTGCACATTTCTTTATTACATTGCAGTGGCATAACTAACATTGTTTTATTCTGTACTATTTGTTTTTTTTGTGCAGCTTATTACTCATCACTGCAATCATTTCCAATTCATTTCTTGGAATGATGACCTTATTTCCACCTTGTTACCTTGTAAATCACCTACATATGTTCCATCCTTCACAGGAATGGGAGTCAAAGAAAGAGACCTAAGAGCCGCATCATGGAGAGGACTGGAGGAAGAATAAATGGATTTCTTTGTGACATTCAGTCCTACCAAGGATAACGTCACATCCCAGACAACAGAAAACTGTAATGAAAGATATCAGCCACTAGGTGGAGGTACATCTCGCTGAATATTTACTCTTCTGTCTTCCTAAAAGGACTTCTCCAAATGTGAGAAAAAGGACTTCTCACTGTCTGTGTAGCCAAGTACTTCCATTGTCTCTGCCGACGCTTATTCAAATGTGGCAAACAGGAAAGAAGCAAGTAAGACACAAGAAAGGTGTATTGAAAAGCACATTGCATATTGTTGTAATGGAAAGGCCACAAGGGATTGCATTCTCATCCGGTGTTGCATATACGGTGAAATGTTTAATTGTTAAGGTGCTGTGTGAGAAATGTGATGTGTTGGCAAAATAAGTTGATGGAGGTAGTTTAAGCCACAATGTGCCTTTCATATAGTATGTTTTTTTTTCTGCCTGTACAGAGACTACTGTTACTATGTTTTATACTTTTATACGTTTGTTTCTCTTCATCATCATTAATCATACCTGTCAGAGGTATTCAGTTATGTGCCATGGAGTGTGTTATCATTTCTTTTTGACAGCACTTCTAAGCTTCTCCTCTCAGGTTGAAGCTGTGCTACACCGCAAACAAATCATCTGCTGCGTAATCCTACATCCACTTGACTGTTTTTGGCAAACCCCTCACCATATGTAATTTTATCAACTCTTCTGCCGAACCCGTGGTTAACTTGTGCACTTTACTGTTCTCCTACCTGGATAAGGGAATAATAAATGTGTCTTATTCTCACACAGGTGATCTTTAATCAATTGTTACAGCACAGACCTATACTTTGCATTCTCCGTCACTGACTTATTACTTTTAATTTCACATGATATGCTGTGAAGTAAATATACAGTATAATGGTTTCATACAAACAATGTATGACAGCCAAAACAAGAAGAAGGAAGACGCACATCGACAGCAGTCACTTAATAAAGGCAATTCAATGCAGTTCAGGCAGCCTATTGTTTACAACTAGATGACTCATCCTCATTTGTTCCGTGGAATTGTAATTAAATAGACGGATACAGGCTTTGTATCGTCACTTCTACATGTTAAAATGTTAGAAGCCACCCATTCATACAATTATAGGTTTCAATACGGAGTGTGCTACAAAGAAGACTTTCTGGTTCCTAACTCAACTGCTTTTCATCACTTTGTCGCCCTGTCTGCGGGACAAAGAGGTTTTATTCATGTGATACAAAAAAAGCTTGTATGATCAGCTTAAATCCAGGCAGTGGCAACTGGTATTGGGGTCTCAAATGAGGAGGTATAGCAGCTTCAGGAAGTGAACAACGCAGCAGCTGGGAAATGAACGCTCAGAGAAAGAGATAGTAAAGCCAGTAGAGGATATTGACAAAGAGAAATGCCAGGGGGAAAACTTTGCGAGAGCGGCGGTCAATGTCGTGCGGATTTTCCACGACGAAGACTGACACCACCCGACACAACACGTCCTTCGCCGAAGACGGGCCGCAGCCCTGTCCTGGCGCCTTGTCTTTGGCTCCAGCATTGTTCCTCGTGTCACTGTTGGCCGACTGCTCCGCGGTGGTGGCGATCACCATGGACTGGTTCGGTTGGGTGGACCTGACGATGGGGATGGAGCTGTTCCCGTTGGATTCATTAAACTCCCTCTGAAGCTCCTGGTAGACGGACAGATCACAATGTTTTTTTATTCTCTATTATTTATTATCTTTGAATGAGTTCCCTTCATATTTGAATGTTTTCCTCACCCTGTGTAGGTCCTCGATGGTGTGGTGCTTCATGGTGTAGAAGTGGGCGCAGGCGTACTCCACCAGTGCGCCAAAGATGAAGGTGAAGCAGATTCCCAGGTAAACGTCGATGGCCTTGATGAAGCAGTTGGCATTGGGCAGGGAAGTGCGGGCGCCCATCATCAGTGTGGTCATTGTCAGGACTGTTGTTACTCCTGGAAAATACATCATCACAGTGTTGTTTTCATAATGTACGGTGGTGGATGAACCTCTAATCCATGTATTGGTATCGTTATTGTTTTCTCCTTTGCTTTTGCTGTTGCTCTTTTATGTGAGGGTCAAATTGTGTTGAACTGGTTGCTGATGATGATATGTTGATATCTGTAAACACAACACTGTTGAAGTTATTAGTTGAGTGATTAAGTTCAACATCTTCATATTTAAATTTTGTATATTAAATTAAACTAGAAAATTCCTAAAGAAATTTTGACAGTGTGGCTTCTACTGCCTGAAGAAATCGCAATATATACACACGCCAATGTTACCGGTAGTGTCATTCAGGTTCAATTGAGACAGTGCTACTCTCTTTTCTGCATTTTAGATTCATACTCTTGGATTGAATCTTGTATTTGTGGGGCTTTTATTTTGAAAGGGTGGGACTGGGTGAGTGAGAGACAGTTATGCTCTCACTCTAGCTCTTAACGAGCCGTGCAAGAGCAGGAAAATCTTCTGTGATTTTTTCCAAACAAATTGCTCCAGCTCCCACAATTGTTACTCTTTATACACCATTTATGGCCCAAAAGCTTGGAAATGTTGTGCTGGTCGCAGTAAAGTGTCTATGGAATCCAACGGACTGACACATTTGGCTCAAAGAGCCGCAGAGCGACATGAACTCCAACCAAATGCTCCATTAGACTCCATGTTAAATCTGACCACTCATTTCTCAAAGAAAGCAGACGGTACCAGTTTTGTCTATTGCTCTGGAGCTCACATTATTAACACCACAAACATAAAAAACACATTACTGCGTTTGCCAGAGTCTTATCTTTCTCACGGTACCCATATTTCGGCACTCAGACTCCTGCTAATTTGTTAAAAGGAGGCAGGGGATTTGTTTAAAATCACTGTTTACTGTAATGTCAGTCAGTCAGTCAGTCAGTCAGTCAGTCAGTCTCTCTCTCTCTCTCTCTCTCTCTCTCTTTCTCTCTCTCTCTCTCTCTCTCTCTCTCTCTCTCTCAAGCCCACAGGATTACAATCGGTGTGCTTTGGCACAGGCAGTTTTACTGCCTTTGTGCCACACTGAAATATTGTACCTGCTTTATGCATATCTGCCTGACCATTATGGAGTCATACATAAGGTCATACAGCAAATCAATACTTCATTTTCTCTACGATAATAATTCAAATGGATGCACTCAGATGTACCAACGTTATAACACTTTGCATTGCATTGCAGTGAGAGATCTGGTACTGACCGATGCAGGTCCTAGCTGGAACGGAGGACTGGCTGATCCAGAAAGAGACCCAGGAGAGAACCACCAGCAGGACGGAGGGAACGTACGTCTCCAAGATGAAGAACAGAACGTTTCTACGCAGTGCGAAATGCAACACCAGCTTGGGGTATTGTCCTGCGTGAAGACATGAGATTTTGAAGGTGATGTATCAGATGTGTTCTCTTGTGCATAAGCTCCGTGAGTCAGGGTGGATTCTGGGAGTTGGAAGTGTCCTACCTGTCTCGTACACGGCCTCTGACACCGATGTGTAGTAGCTCTCCACGCTGTACTGAGCCAGCCGCAGAATGTCAAGACCCTTCACTGAATCATTCCCTCGGGTCCAGTAGAACACCACATCCTGCAGGTTGTAGCCCCCTGACCACACACACACATTAAGGCCTGCTGACCTGCTATTGTTAACATTGTCTCTTCAGTTTGATACTCACTACACTGATGATGATGATGATGATGATGATGATGATGAAAATGGTGATGAGCAGGGTGACATGATGGTGATGAATGTCCACACTTGATGGCGCTCACAGGTACTCACAGCTCTCCAGCTGCAGGGTGCACACCTGTCTGTCCATGGGGTACTTGGTCAGGTCCATGTTGCAGGCAATCGTAGCCGTGATGCTGTTGTGTAATCACAGCAAGAAAAAACAACAACACTGTTACTCCGTTCATGTACGACCGGGCTGTTAATAACGAGTGAACTAGTCTCCCCACCGGGCAAATATCAGCAGATCAAAGACATGCATTAGTTGCTTATATGATGCTGACTTGTTGCAATTCAATGAAAGTGGGGATATATTACTCACTTATGGATATCATAGTGTTCTAACCCAAAACCTGCTAAATACATTAGAAAACAAGTAACATAGCAGCTTTTTCATTGACAAACACGGACAACTTGGATCTACCGTAAAACCGAATTTCTATAATCGGCTTTATGAAATCAGACTGCACCTATGATTCAAAATAATATTAAATATGGAACATCCTGCACAACACTGCCCTTTCTGTCCTCAATAAAGTGCTCCATGACAGTGCGACATGACGGATTAGACACAGTTTTGAAGGCCATGAAAAATACAGAAATTCAGTGGCATTCCCTCAAGTTATATGACTGAGCGATGATACATAAGTGCCTTTTTTTCTTTTTTTAGTACAACCCAAGGCGAATTCATGCTTGATTACCACGACAATCATAACAACAGCTTGGTATTTAAAGAAAAAGCTGAGTAGATTTTCCTTCCCCTCCTTCCTCCCTTTTTTTTCTGTTGGAGCATTTATCAAATATCAATAAATGGGAAATCAATATACGTCAACCTGTACCGTAGGGCATAGAGAACGGTTCCGTTGCTGAAAATGCGTATGAGGCGGTTTTCCACCGTGACGTCGTGCAGGAAGGAGCGCTTGGAGTCGGGGATGAAGGTGTCGGGGATCCACAGCAGTGACACGAGGCGGCCGTCCACGCTGACGCTCTCGTTTCCGGGGAACACGAGCCTCGAGTCCCGCCAGCGCTGACGGAGGAAGATGGTTGCGGTGTAGTCCTAAAAAGGTGATGAAAAGAAGATTTTTTTTTTTTTTTCTTTTTTTTTTTTTTTTTTAATTCATTAATTTCTTTCATCAGTCACCCACTGACACAAAACACAGTCAGAAGAGGGGTGTACCATATTGATTTCAGAGATGGCATCGATGCTGGCGATGTCGAGACTCATTCCAATTTCCACAGGGCCCTCTATCAAAGACAGAGACACAGGGAGGTTTGGAAAGGAGTCTGTTTTCAGTCAGGGACACACACACACACACACACAACACATTTGCATCGTCTCAAACTCAACGAAACACTCACTTAACAAGCTCATTCCTACCATTGAAATTAGGTCTGAGGTAGCGGTTGTATCCTTTCATCAGCTTCTGAATCGTTGGCTGCAGCTGAGAGTCGTTCCATTCTCCCCAGTGGTTGTTAGAATACGTACAACCACTGAGGAAGAACAAAGAGAGAGACAGAGAGGGAACCATAAAAGTTGGAGCAAAACACGAGCCGAGGAAGTGCATTTCAAATCGATGTGTTTTCAACCCTTTTTTTTTTTTTTTTCTCACCCCTGTGTGACGGTCAGGCAGAGGGTCAGCAGCACGTGCAGCAGGACAGACATTGTGGATCGGCGGTGCAGAGGTCAGAGGTCAGCAGCTGTGCTCGGGGAGACGTGACAAACAGAAAAGGTAAAGAACCCGTCCCATCACAGGGGATGGCACCGTTTCACCATGAGGTGGCAGCACCTCACCGAGCGTGATCCCAAACACTGGGGGGGGGGGGGGAAACGTAGCAGCCCAGCAGACGTTCATTCTCACCCTTTAATGTTATCAAACTGTGCCTCCCCCCCGGCCCTCACACTTACGGAAAATGCGCTACAAAAAAACAAAGGTGTATCGATCTCCCCCTCCCCGTTATATGCATTCACTAGTAGCTGCTTAAGAATACAGAAAGAGATGGAGGCAGTCTCCAGATAAGACATGCGTGCACCTACCTACCTGTTACCATGCTTGTTTGTGTGTGCGTCGTGCACTCAAGTGTGTGTTCTAGTCTGTCACCTGCTGATTAATGTGGCTGCGACCTCATGATTTATTCACAAAG